GCCCCTGGACAGGGCTGAGGTGTACACCAGCAAGCTCCAGGATTGAGCCCGGGGGGCTGCAGTCTCCCCGAGGGCCTTGCAGGTAGCCACGTTCACATCTAGACCCTACCCAAGGTGGATCAGGCCATGTTGGTCCAACTGCAGGAAAGTGCTTAATAAAATCTTCCTAAGAATTTGAGTTCAGTAAAGACTTAAAGAATGAATGAGTGAGAAGCTGAATGAATGAATGTGGCATTGTCATTTGAGGGGTTGCATTGTTTCTCTGGAAGGTGGGGCACAGGGCTCATTTTCAGTCAAAGCGGAGGTGGAGAGGGTAAGGAGGTTAGGGCTGCCAGGACACCTGGGTTGTCAGACCTCCCTGAGCCTCGGTCTCTTCCTCTGTAAGGTGGGAGGTCAGCGCCTCCCCTGATGGCTTCATGTGAGCTTTAGGGGTGCTGTGAGACAGGGTGTACATGCAGTTATTAGATGCTGCTTGGGGTGTGCTGGCTGCGAGGTACTGGAAGCCAATCTGGGCCCTGGGTGTGGCTCTGCTGGCCCCCCAAGTCATCTCTTTCTCTCTAGGGCTCAGTTCCTCATCTGTAAAATGGGCTGATGTAAATGGTTAACTTCAAGGCCATACATGCCTGGGTTCCTTCACAGCTTTCTCTGAGGATCCCACCACGGGCGGGCAGAAGAGGCTGCAGGACAGCAGCCTTCTGCTGGGGCAGAAGGGGAGGGGAGGGGCACCAAGTCCCCTGGTCGGGGGCAGAGGGGCTCTTCCGGCCCTGGGTCTCCACCCAGATGACAGTTCTGTCTTCGGAGCCAGGTAGCAAGTCTGCTTCCCTTTTTGGGACGAGCGAAACAGGTTCCACTTCCCGTCATGGAAAGAAGAGGTTGGTCAGCGCAGGGTCGTTAAAGCAGGAGTGCTGACTGACAGCTGCCAGGAAGAGCCCCAGCGGCTGGTGGGGCACTCTCAGGGCACCGGATCGTTCACCAGGGGCACAGATGCTGAGACGACATGGTCAGATGCACCAGAGGGGTCAATGGCTGACAAGGCAGGAGGCGTTTGGTCCCTGCGGAATGCGGCTCTCAGACCCCTCCCGTGCAGCAGAGGGCGTAGGACTGAACCGCCATCATTGGGGTGGGGGGCAGTTTGTATTTTGAGGCAAGGCTAAGCCTTTGCCTGCTTCCAGCCAGCCCCATGCAGTCTGAGCAGAACACCCCAGCTGGTGGGTTGGGGTGGGTGGAGGAGGTGGGGCTTGGCTCTTGGGTTCTGGGCTGGACTCAAGCTTCACAGAAACTTCTAATTATAAATACCCACGGAAGCAATTTTTCTAGCTCACTTCTCAGATTCTGAAGGCTCCCCTCCTCCCATGACTGGGAAGGCGAGGCCTTCAGAGCTGAGCTTCCCACCCATAGAGGCTGCCTCATCCTCCCTCCCATCTCAATCATGGTTCATCAATTAGCTAATCACTGTGGACATGCTGTGTGACTCTGGGCAAGGAAGCACCCTCTCTGGGCTCCTCTGACCTCATCTGTACAAAGGGATTCAGAATGCTTGGGAAGTTTGCTCCAAAATAGGTGATTTTGTTCTGAGATCTAATCAGTCACAAAGGGATGGCATTCAATTAAATCCAACCAAACCCTGAAAACTTGGAGCCACCTATCTGGTCAGAACAGAAATGCACAGAGGAGTTGTCAAAGCAGATCCTTGGACAGAGCATGGTCTGGCCTTCAACACACAGATCTGGCTAGAGGTGATTTAGGAAACAGAGGAAGGATTTCCTCCTCACCCAGTCAGGGCTGGAATAGTCAGGAGGACTTCCTGGAGGAGGTAGTACTTTTTTCAGATCCCTGCCATTTCTAACCCAGAGCTCCTGAGGCCAGAGGTCCTGGTCCATGCTCTATCACCAGCAGATAGATGCTCAATAAACAGTAACAAGTTCCTGGGATGCCATACATCTTTCTTGTTCCTCCATTTTTAATAAATGATTCTAAATTTCACAAGCAACGCAGCATACAGTCTGCTTGACAAAAGAGAAGAAGAGCCTGTGAAACCACCACCACATTGAGACAATGGCCACTTCTATCTCCCTGGAAAGTTTTCCCCTGCTCCTTTGTAAGCTCCCTCTCCTGTCCCTCACTTTCCCCCACTGATTTGCTTTCTGACAGTACAGATTCGACGGCACTTTCTAGAATTTCATATAAATGGAACCACATTGTATGGTCTCTTCTTTGTCTGGCTTGTCTCTACTGAGCATAATTTTTCTTTTTTTTAAACTGGAGTATAGTTGATTTACAACGTTGTGTTAGTTTTAGGTGTACAGTAAAGTGATTCAGATATATACATATATTCTTTTTATTTTTAATTTTTTTCTTTTTAATATATACTTATTTTTATTATATTTATCATTATTTTTAATTTTTCCCCTTAACAGAGGCACTAGGGATTGAACCCAGAACCTGTGCATGCCAAGCACACGCTGTACCATTGAGCTATACCTTCCACCCCCTTTTTTAACTTTTTGTGAGTTTTTTTCCATAACATTCTTGTTTTTTTTTAATTGAAGTATAGTCGGTTTATAATGTCCTAATTTCTGGTGTACAGCAGAGTGATTCAGTTATGCATATATATATTCCTTTTGGTAATCTTTTTCATTATAGGCAATTGCAAGAAATTGAATCTAGTTCCTTGTGCTGCACAGTAGGACCTTGCTGTTCATCTATTTTATATGCAGTAGTTAGTATCTGCAAATCCTGAACTCCCAGTTTATCCCTCCACCCCCCAATATGTTTATATTCTTTTTCAGATTCTTTTCCATTGTAGGTTATTACAAGATATTGAATATAGTTCCCTGTGCTATCAGTAAGTCTTTGTTCTTTATTTTGTATACAGTAGTATGTATCTGTTACTCCCAAACTCCTAATTTATCCCCCCTCCCCTCTTTCCCCTTGGAACCATACATTTGTTTTCTATGTCTGAGACTCTATGTCTGATGTGTAAATTAGTTCCTCTGTGTCATTTTTTAGATTCCACATATAAGTGATATCACATGATACTTGTCTTTGTCTGACTTACTTCACTTAGGATGATAATCTCCAGGTCCATCCATGTTGCTACAAATGGCATTAGGTCATTCTTTTTTTATAAAAGTCAGCATAATTATTTTGAGATTCATCATGTTGCAGCACGTATTAATATTTTGTTCCTGTTTATTCCACTGTGTGACTGTTCTACAATTTGCTGATCTGTCATTCTCCTGTTCATGACCATTTGGGTTGTTTCCAGTTTGGAGTTATTGCAAATGAAGTTATGAGCAGTCGTGGACCAGTCCCGGCAGGGACCCATGCTTTCACTTCTCCTGGGGAAA